TTCCATCCACTTGTTTTACTCAATAACCCTAATTCTCCATCTCAATTCCTCGCCTGAGCAGTTTTGTGGTGGCAGTCTGGCAGATGTGAGTGCAGCACAGGCAAATAAGGCACGTTGAGTGAGAGACAGCAAAAGACCCGTCCATTTCGACGACCACAGCAAACTACCTGTGGCCCTTGCTCAATGTGTTGTTTCAAGCTAACCTGTTCTCTACTCTTGCTTACTTTCTGCTTGACGTTTGATCATCATTACCTGCACCAACCATTCTCGCTTCTGTTGAAAATCTGTCCAGTTCTTTCCTCAACGTTGTTGCATTCAATTCAACTTGATGCTCTGTTTTCTCAACTTCCTATACGAGGGAGAAAATACCGGTTGCAGCAGCAAGGAGGAAAGATCCCCAGCTGGAGAGCCCCCCTGCTTTAGAGTAGATGGAGCAGGGGAGCTAAGGCAGGGTACGACAAAATGAAGGTTGCTACTTGAGAGGATCTAACTGTTGTTAAGGTTGCGGTGCGGATTGATTCCATGAAATCTAGAATACCACAAACGCATTTATGGTACTGTAGTACATTCTTACAAAACTTTATTTGTAATGGCACTCTCCTACGTACCGGAATCCCATTTCTCATGGGAAAAAAAAAAAGGTTCACCAAACTGGTAGAAGTTGGCAAGGCATTGGCATGAAACGATTGAAATGTGATGAAAGTAGTTCTAGAGGGTTTTTTTTTTTTTTTTTGCTGCTGTAGGGGAAGAGAAAGAAAGTTGGGTTGAGTAAATGTGTCTGTTAAATGTATACCTATATCTACTCTCGTAATTAACATGCTTGTCCACTGTTCTTGCACAAGCGAGTACAGATCGAGGTTCTCCGCCACACCCTTCTCGTCAATCCCTACATCAAGGCCACTCTCAATGAACAAGCTACTAGGTCCAGCTGTCGCAACCATGGATCACCACCAACCTAGTTCGCGAAACAGCTTCATAGTGGTGATTCGAAAGGTGTAGCGAGTTTGACGAAAGTTCTAGTTAGTGTATGTCGGTAGTCTAGGTGGTAACAGCTGGTCGCAAACCTGTCCGTTTGATTCGGAGATATAAGCGGGGATGGGGCGAGGGGCGGCGAAATCGCACGAAACTGAAACTTCAGCCAGACCCGCCTCGAACATCCCGCACGTAACACTTTCCTGCATTCATCCCGCCGAGTTCGCCTGACGCGTCGCGGTAGCACAATGGCCAGCGTGACACACCGACTCTGAAACCCCTATTCGCTGACAGCCAAGGTACGAAGCGCAACCATGGGCAGCATAGAAAATGTTGACTTCGCTGGCCGACTTGCCCTGAGTTTCCTGCCCAGAATCTCCGGATTCCACCCAAAAATCCGCGTGGGGATTCCACCCATCGAGCCTCTCACCCAAAAATCCGCTAGTGGGTTCCACCCACCGAGCCTGTCTCACCCAAAAATCCGCTAGGGGATTCCACACACCGAGCGTGTCTCACCCAGAAATCCGCTAGGGGATCCCAACCACCGAGCCTGTGTCACCCAAAAATTCGCTTGGAATCCCACCCACCGAGCCTGTCTCTATGCGTTTGCCAGAAAGCCTCTCCTCCCCTCTGGTCTCCTCTCCTCGCTGTTGGGTGTACATATTCAACCAGCTCGCTAATTCCTTCACCAGTTTCTTGTTCTGAAGTAATTCTGCTCTCTTGATCGCTTCCTCCGATCGGTACTCTCTCGAAGAATTTCCTGAACCTGCTCTAAGACTCTGTTCTGTGACTGCAAATTTAACTGCTTGAAAACATCAGCCTTTTCTGCAAATTTAACTGCTTCTCAAGTCTTAAGCACAACGATGGCAACTGTCCGCATGGTGAACGGCAGCCAGCCCGCCAGCAATGACAGACGACCCAACTCTGACACAAGGAGGCTTCGAACTACCAAGCAAGGCTTCAGTGCCTTCTTTGCTGCCATGAAATTCGGCAGATTCGAAGAGAATAACAAGCTACCGCAGGAAAGGTCCTTCCGTGGACCACTTGGGTTTTCTCCCCTGCGACCAAAGGCTGCGAGTTCTTCCAAGGAAACTCCTGCTCGAGTTGCCTGTGACGTGCCACAGAAGCAACAAAAGCAGACGACCCAGCGGAAGCTGCAGCAAAAAGCTCAACAATTGCTTTCGCTGGCTGCAATTTCCTGCTTGCCCACGAAGATTCCAAAGCCTGTGGGCTCAAGGACTGTTGCGAAGGTGGCTGAGGCGAGATCTACACGCAGCAGCATGCCAGCGGAAAGGGTTGAGAAGGAAACGTCCCAGCTGGAACCAATTCGGTTGCGTTTTGAAGTTTCAAGACTGTCCAAGATGAGGAGTGCGCCTGCTGCTGCAGTTGCAGCATGAACCATGAGCTAAGGAAGGGAAATTGCAGAAGGGATAAGCACAGCAGCAGATGTACCGCAGCTTTTATCTGCCATAGATATTAGATCGGTATAAACTGTAAATAGGTCGGTTGATATGTACATTACGTTGTAGGACGCGAATACATGTATCTATTGAAAATCGTGTTCAGTGAGGTTCTGTTCTCTATTTTTGTATCACTGGAGAACCCATGAAGGACTCCACTTGAGCTCATCTCCCACTGGACCGCCCCTCTTCCCCACCTTAGAACCCTCTTCCTCCCTGTGGTATTGACTCTCTACCTCCTACTATCCATGTGTGTGTCACTTCACTCCCACCCCCATTTTCACCTTGCTTCCCTGCTCTTCTGTTTCTTTCAGACTTCCTTCTGAGTCTGCCTTTTCTCATGTGCCTCCTTTTTCTTCATCTCTTCACTTCCCACTTTCAATTTCTTGTCTGCCCCGTCTCCCCTCCTTTCCCACCAATCTTCCCTTTTCTCGCAATCGCTTATCCCACAATTCCTTACCTCACAGATTTGAACCCAACAAACCCTCCATGGGAGCCACCCCTTCCCACCCCCTCCACCCATCTTTGTGTTGTCATGCTCATGTTCATTGCACAGGCTGGTCTAACAAATTCCAGTGACTATGTCAAGTGATTTCAGCATTTCGTAATCGAGTTATTATCTCCAGAAACTTTGGTCGAGCGACTCGTCTAATGTGTGCAATGATGGGATTTCAGCCTGTTTGTACTTTTGCGACAGAGTTCACAACTAGCTTGTCACTACAAAAGAACTACCAGTGCCTTAATTCAAGAATGTCATGCGGGTTGTTTTTGTAACTTATTCCAGTGTCTATTCCCATCCCACCTCATCTCAACCCCCCTCTTCCCCTTTTTGGTTCCAGAAATGAGTGCAGCAGGAGGGCTGGAGTAAGAGGCAGCGTGGCAGCTGCGCACTTCATCGTGCATCAGCTGGGACGAGATGGAATGAGCTGGCATATACAGCATCAGATGCCATCATGTGATGAAAGGCCTCAGGTGGCATGAGATGGCATCATGAGGCATTGAATGTCATCAAATGGCATGAGACTGCGTCATGTAGAATTGCCATCAATTGGCAACACATGGCATTCGATGGTATCATATGGCATCAAATGTCTCATACGGCATAAGATGGTATGAGACAGCATCAAACGGCATCAGCTGACATCAGGCATTGGTGATATCATATGGCATCATATTTCACCAGATGGCATCAGATGGCACCGGATGGCACAAAATGGCATCGCATGAATTATCTGGCGCCGGATGGCAACAGAAGGCATCAGATGGCACCGCATGGCACCACATGGCACCACATGGCACAAGCTGACACGAGTTGACACAAGGTGGCATCATATGTAATCAAATGGCCATATGGCATCCAGTGGCACCAGATGGCAGAAGCCCACATTACAGCACCTAAATACAATCCCGTTTCCTTTCTCGACTTTCACTCTCCTATTAACATCTTTTGCTCCCTCCTCTCCTCATCTTGCCGGCGTTGCCTCTCCTTGCTGGGGTCCAATCATATATGCCTTTCCATTTCCTGCTGCCATTCCACTTCTTCTTGTTCGTCCTTAAGTCTTCTGCCTTAGCTCTCCCTCAATTTCCAATCCACCCTCGCGTCCCAACAGCGATTCTTTCTCACACCTTCTCTACCTTCTGTCATGCGCTTACTCCTCCCTCCTGTGCCTCCCTTGCCACCCTCGATTCTTTCGTCCTTCCTTAAGTAAGCAGGGTACAGTAACAGCTGCACTCTTCAACTTGTAAAATGTACGTTATTTCTTCAAGCCTAAGGTTGGTTGGTTGGTTGGACATTCATCTCTCATTCTCAAGTTGCCCTTGTTTCATTCTTCCTGCTGCGGCTGATTTGTGCCGTTATTTGTTCCAACGTGTTGTCTCCCATAATATTCTCTGTTTACTTACTCTCCTCGCCTTGAACATCTACGCTTTCGCATCGTACTGTTCAAATCAAAGCAAAAGCGGTACCGTATGTTGGGCCAGCATCTCCCTCCCAGGTCAACCGCTGTAGGCTATGGCCTAACCAGGAATACGTATGACAGTAACTGAAGGGTACGTTTATTAATGTTCAGCAGCTGTGGACGGCTCATAGAAAGCCATTCTTTGTTGCTGGGTGGATTTGAAGGAGCTGGGCAGAGGCTGCAATTCTGGACAGTAACAACACGCCAGCAAGCCATGAGAGTTGCGATGTGACAGCTTCCGCCGTTGCTGCTACAGTTTTGGTAATGATGGGTTGCTTTAATTGGCGCAAATATTTCACGCAAATAAATTGAGCCCTTTTGTTTAGAAAGAATTACTCGTGGAGTATTTGTATGCTGCATTTTGCTGATGGATATTACTATTGATTGACAGATTATTAACAAAATATTAAGGATCGTAAGTGGCAGTGCGTCTTACCTTTTAAATAACGAGCTCTCTCATGACGGAAAAGATTCAAAATGTTACCGTTGGCGTCAGTGCGGGACCTGCCCTCATCAGACATATCTCCACCTCAATACCCACAGATAGAACATCTCTCGCCATTGCTGCCAAGTCATCCCCAGACCACACTGTCTTCCTTACCTCGGCACAATGTCGTCTCTTGGGATTGCCGCCGCCATGGCCGTCGCTTCCGCCGTTCCTCCTCTCTCCGCTAGCACCGCCTTGACTTGTAAGCTTGGTTGTTTTTGGATAAAGTTTAAAAACGCTCCTTTAGTAAGACTCAAGTCGAGTCGCGCCGTGCCAGTCCGCTCAATTTCCTCCGCATTACGTAAATCTCGAGTGGGCGGTTTTGAAGTTTCTTAAAGAGCTGACCCGAGACTCAAAAGTCGCCGCGCCAGCCCACTCGCGCCGTGCCTGTCCGCTCGAGCTCCTCCGCTTTACCTGATTTTCAAACATGCGGTTTTGAAATTTCTCGAACAGGCGGTTTTGTATGTCTCGAGTAATGCGCCGAGGAGGTTCCGAAACGTTTTCTGCAAAACTAAGATCGAGCTAGCAACGGCTGAAACTAGAACATGCCGCTCAATCCGCGATCGTCGCGCTTGTAGCTGTCGTGGTAACACACACCCATCGCGCAACGCGATCAGGCAGCATCGGGTAACGCGATGAGTCAGCATTGCGTGACGCGATCAGTCAGCATCCGGTAACGCGATGAGTCCCAGCGGAGAAAGTCCGAAATGAGAATTGCTCGCAAAACCATCTCCTAGCCCCCGCTCTCCCAATGACGTTCGGATTGAGATTTTCTTACGGGCTGACGTGGCTCCACTCCGCAGCCCCTCACCTGACTCCGCATCCCCTCACCTGACTCCGCATCCCCTCACCTGACTCCGCATCCCCTCACCTGACTCCGCATCCCCTCACCTGACTCCGCATCCCCTCACCTGACTCCGCATCCCCTCACCTGACTCCGCATCCCCTCACCTGACTCCGCATCCCCTCACCTGACTCCGCATCCCCTCACCTGACTCCGCATCCCCTCACCTGACTCCGCATCCCCTCACCTGACTCCGCACCCCCTCACCTGACTCCGCACCCCCTCACCTGACTCCGCACCCCCTCACCTGGCTCAGCCCGTCTAAAAAAACATCTCTCCTGCACGTCCCATCTCTTCTCCTGATATTAACCAATTCTCCTCTTCCTTTCCCTCTTGGATCCCATCCCTTACATATTTCTCTATCATTCCCTTCGCTTCTCCTTCTCTCCCCTGCCTCTCCTCCTCTCTTCCGTCACCCTTACCCCGCCCCCATCCCTCCCATCGCCCCCACCATTCCACCACCCTTATCGGCCCCCCCCACACCCTCCCCATCGTGCAGCCAAGACATCGCTTCCCTCGCAGCAGCGCATCACAGCGCCACGCCAGCGCGCTAGCTTCGCGTCTCCTTCTGCCACGTCATCACCACAACCACCACCACCACCACCACCACCACCATCATCACATCGTCATCATCATCAGCAGCAGCAGCAGCAGCAGCATCACGGGAGCACCACATAGAAGCACAGCATCATGGGCACGCAGCGACCATGGCTGCATGTGCTGCTGCAGTGCTCTCTGCCACTCTGCTCTGTACGTATATGCCTTTCCATAAGTTGTCTCGTGTCACACATAGTCCATCCAGAGGGAATCTTCCCAGAGGTATCTTCCCAGAAAAAATTTCCCAGAGAAATCTTCCCAGAAAAATCTTCTCAGTGAAATCTTCCCAGAGAAATCTTTCCAGAGAAATCTTCCCACAGGTTTGTTCCCAACATCATCACTGGAGGGCCTGACCCTACACGAAATGACCTCTTGTTTTTTTGGTCGACTCAAAAGTAAACAAAAATTAGTCGACGTCTGCCCACAAGATGTCATTTCGATTCGTGCGCCCCTCTTTTCTTGTCCACCCCCCACCTCTCGTCCCATCCCCCGCAACCCCCTTTCGATTCAATTCCACCCGTACCCACTTTCCCCTCAACTGCAGTGCAGCAGCCCGCTCTAGCTCAGGACGTCTCCGTATCGCCACCAGCAGCAGCAGTGTTTGAGCGGACATGTGCTGGCTGTCACGCTGGTGGGGGGAACCTGCTCAAGCCGGTACGTTATAAAAATCTTAACCACACCCTAGCAGCCAAAGCCTCACTTTCTCACGGTCACTCCCATTATCGACAGCTGCAGCAGTATTTGAGCGCACGTGTGCCAGCTGCCATGCTGGTGGTTGGTACCTGCTCAAGCCGGTACACTGTGAGGTCAGATGCAAACAGCCCTGCGAGACCAGTACTGCCACACCTACCACCGTCACCAGCATCAGCAGCAGTGTTTGAGCGCACATGTGCTAACTACCAGGCTGGTGGAGGGAACCTGCTCCAATGGGGAGTCATCATCGCTGGGCTCTTATCACTTGTTCTTTTTGCACTCTCCTCCCGCTTTCAAGTGTTTGGTTGATTTATGATACCTCTTCACAAGTAGCAGGCTGCCGCACGCTTTTTGTTTCGTACTTTTCTAAACTCATAATTGAGTGATACATCCTGTCTCATCCCATTTCTTATGGTTCCTGTTCCTCTCCTCCTCCTGTATTTATTCCTTCCAGGAGCCGATCTCTTACTCCCGGAACGACATATCCTTGAGATGTGAGGATGAAATCGCTGCTCGCATCCAGCCACCTCACTGCACCATCATTTTGCTTAGCTCAATTGTTCCTCTCCTCTCCTTTCTTTTATCATCTTTGTTTCTCCAGGGAGCTGGGCTTTCACTTGCCGACCTTCAGAGGTACATCCTGCCCTTCCCATCAACCTTTGTGTGTCCATTGCTGTTCTCTGTGCTGTCGCCTACATAATTGCACGACTCTATAACTGACTGTCAGCACCCTAAGTATAGTAAGTGATTCGAAGTTGTTATCCTTGCCCTATGTGAGGCAGCAGCGCAGTGGAATCTGTTTCGAGACGTCTCACAAGTTGCACAATGTGAACTAGCGCGGTGAAAGGAACTGCGAGTGGGGCGAGCCATCCGCCCTTATCTCACATGTTCCCTCTGCACGTTGTTGCAGGCGGACTCTGAGAAATTTCAGTATAGTCGCGTACTCCTCAGTGAGAAAAGCGAGCCGTCTACCTGCCTCACAGCTTCACCCGCCTTATTCCGATTTCGCTGCCCCGTCTGCTAACCCCCATGCTCACTTCAGGAATGAGCTCACCTCGGCAGACGACATTACGAGAGTCACTTCACTGCACCTTCCGCCATTTTCTTGAAGGCCATCCATTCACCTCATCATCATTCTTCCGCCTGCCTGCCCCACCCGCCATTTCCCATGCTCGCTTCAGGAACGGACTCACCTCAGCAGACGACATTGCACGAGTCACTGCACTCACTTAGCTGTTTCCTTAAAGGCTTCACCTCATCCTCATTCCTCTGCCTGCCTTCCCCACCCGCCATTTCCCGTGCTCACTTCAGGAACGGGCTCACCTCAGCAGACGACATTGCAAGAGTCACTGCGTTCGGCATTGGTCGCATGCCTGTAAGTATCCAATAATAGGTATCACAGCATTTCAGACTCTAGAATCTTGCCAGCTTTAGGGTTATGGATTACGCTTCAGGGCATTTCCGTCCCCAACAATTCATTTCAGCACGACATCTGAGCATGTATCCCAGCTAAAATCCTGTCTCCCATACCCAGAACATGCACCAGAGATCTAGTTTTAAGCTTTAAGACGTCTCGGAAAAACAGGTATTCGTGGTAAACCCCAGTCTGTCGATACCCAGAACATGTGTCAGAGAGCTTTAGGTTGGTTAGTACGTCTCAGTCTGTTCAATCTCCCATCCCCAACTCCCCTTTCCCTTCGCCAGTTCTCCCATGCCCATTTCCCCTCTCTCTTCGCCCATTCTCCCATCCCCATTACCCCTTTCCTGCCCCTCCCACTCCCTTGTCCGCTTTTTTTAAAGCCTTTCTGAGACTACTCCGAATCGACCCTTACCCTCCGACACACGCCCGCCGAACTCTCCCAGGGCTATGGGGAGGATTGCAAGTTGTGTGGGCAGTGCACTGGCTTTGAAGCCCAACTTTCACTGCCCCCTGTCTCTTTCCTCGCTCTCTCCCCCACCCTCTCCCTACCTTCTCTCTTTCCCCACTTTCTCTTCCCAGGGCTATGGGGAGGACTGCAAGCCCCGGGGGCAGTGCACGTTCGGTCCGCGCCTGAGTGCTGACGTCATCCGCCAGCTGGCAGAGTACACCCTGGCACAGGCAGAGGCGGGGTGGCCACGCTGAAACTTTTTCTTGGGAGTTTTACTGTACCTTACGACAGACAAATAAATTATCCCTGATAACATGCCATCCCTCTCTTTTTAGATCTGGTCACAAGCAACGGCTGGCTCTTCACAAGCTTGAAGCTACTGAATGTTTCTCTCCGCTCCTGCACTGGCACATCCAGCAGCGGTCATTGCCCTGAGTTACCATATGACTCATGGTGACTGAGGAGAGGAATCAATGGCTTCAGCCGAGCAAAGGCTACTACTTGATAGGGCCTGAATGGCAGGCATTGCCATCTATTCTCCAAGACTACAACAGAAGGCTGTTTGACATCTCCACTAAACTACCACCTTCAGCCATTTCTCCAAACCGTTTCTTTCCGTCAGCCTTCTCTTCGCGCGCCGCTCCCCCTCGTTCCTTCCGCTCGTCGCTCCTGCATGCTTTTCCCAAGCTGAGCCTGGGCTCTCACGATCAGCTTCTGGACTTCCAAAACATCACCTCACATCAGACCTTCCATTCGCCCTGTGAACGTTTACGAGGGTTTCGCGAATGTACCGAACTGAAGCAGCAAGCACTGGCGCAAAATCCGGCGCGAGTCATCTGGCGAACCAATCCTGAGCCCTAAAAACTTGGTGTATTTGTCTTATTGATCGTACACGCACGTGAGGATTAACAAACGTTTTGGAGGGGTTCGGCCATTGTCCCCACCACAGGGGTCCATGGCTCCACTAAATGTCGCACGACCAACCCTTCGGTAACGTACGGATCCGTGTCAATTAGATCGCGAATGACTTCTTCGCGATTGTTCGCACGGACGATCAGCAATGCGCCTGTGGGAGGGTTACCCGTCGCAGCACCTGCGACCATTTTCCCTTCTGCGGCCAGCGACCGGCACAGCTGCACGTGCTCCTCGCGATACTTCTCGCGACGGGTAACAATGTCCGGCACGTATTCGTAAATAACCGCGAACAGCTGCTTCGGATCAGCCCCTTTTCCAGAAGAATCTGCGGATGAGCTGCTGCTGCTGCTGCTGGAGCCACATCTCGTTGTGAGTGCGACGCGCCTCGGCGAAGAGAGGAGCGCAAGCGAGCGACGGAATGGCAGCGGTCGGCCTTGGTGGAGGGAGAAGCGGCAAGCAATGGCGGTGGTGGCTTGGGATGTCATTAACGCCGCCATGGCTGCACTAGATCTGCGCTAGATTTCGCTAGAAGCAATGGTGGTCTGGACTGCACTACACCACCAGAGCATGCACCGCAAGCCAATCACAAGCCGCACGCGTTGGAATTTGGATCTGTCCGCACAAAAATGGCGTTCGGGCTGGATCCATTCGTACGCGACACACGCCTACCCGTTTGCCGCTCTGCCCATCGTACACGTAATTCGTTTCATGATGTTAATTACATTGTCAAAACTTGCCCCGTGTGTCCAGCGAAAGCTTATTATTAGTCTCAAAAGTCACTCTATCAATATGGTTAGGAAGGAATGTCATATCCCTGAGAAACACTAGGTGATTGTCCAAGCTTGCTTAGCTTCCCAGGCTTCTTTGCACCATCCCCCATCCCCAATGCACCACCGCCACCACCACTCCCAACCGATGACTTCTTTCCTTTCTGTGCCTCCTCCACACTTCTTTCCCCATCTTCTCCCGCCTTCCCTTCCCCCTCCCCATTACTCGTGTCTTCCCCTTCCCCTGCTGCCTCCATTGCTGCTCTGTTCTTCTCCAAAGCTGCTGCCACCTCCTTGGGCATGTATTTCTAAGGTAGAAGGAAAGGAGGGAAAGGGCGGGGGGTTGAAGGAGGGACGGGTAGGGCGGGAAATAGGTGGGGATGTTGAGATCAATAGACGTCCCACGAATCCTTCCCAGAGCTGCTGCCACCTCCTTAGGCATGTATTCCTAAGGTAGAAGAAAGCAGGGGAAGAATGGAGGGCGGGGGAGGTCGAGGGTGCACACGCCATCTTGATCCTTGCTCAGCAACAACACATTACACCCATTATGCTTAACAAGGGGGAGAAAAACAAGGCACCTGGCTTACATACAGAAACCTAGCAAGTAGTTTCTGACTGACTCGATCATATCATGGCATTGCTGGATCTGAGCCAGGTGCCTCTATGAAAGGATGGCATGTCCACAACTAAAAACAACCTCAACCTTGGGCTGGCATGCTTGGCCAGCACTCACTCACCTCATCATGCTTCGCCAGCACTCACCTCATCATTCTTCGCCAGCACTCACCTCATCATGCTTCGCCAGCACTTCAGAAGCAGCAAAGAAGAACCACACACTCTGTCCCGCGTTCTTGCCACACCAGACCATAGGCACCCAGTCACATTCACCTCACCTCATACTGCCAATCTCAGCTCGCTGCCCCTCATAGTGCTTCCCGGCAACACTCACTTCATCATGCTTCGCCAGCACTTCAGTCGCAGCAAAGAAGTAACCCACACTCCGCGCACTCGCACTCACATCCTCCCACTCCTCCGCCCCCTTCTCCCCACCGCCCTCACCTTCCCCACTTGCTCCCCCTTCCCCAATCCCTCCCCCCACTACTGCACCCTCCGCCTCTACAACTCCCAACACACTCGTCCCCCTCCCCGAAAATCCACTGCCGCTGCTGCTATTACTGCTGGTGGCACTACCGATGCTGCTGCCAGGGCTACTCGCAGTGAAAGCAGCGGTGTTGGCTTGGCTGAGTGGCCGCAAAAACCCCTCCGCCACCACGGAATGGCCCTCCCTGAACAGATCTGGCAGCGCACCCCTGTAACGAACCAGGATCTGCAGAGTAAGCAGGGGAAAGGAAGATGAGAGGGATGTAACACTAACTTAAGCAGCGGGGCCGCAGAACCCCTCCGCCACCACGAAGAAGCCCTCCCTGAACAGATCAGGTAGAGCACCCCCGTAGCGGACCAGGATCTGCCACATAAGCAGGGAGAAAGTAAGGGGAGGAACACTCAAGTGAGCAGCGGTGTTGGCTTGGCTGGGAGGCCGCAGGAACCCCTCCGCCACCACGGAGTGGCCCTCCCTGAACAGATCTGGCAGCGCACCCCTGTAGCGAACCAGGATCTGCAGAGTAAGCAGGGGGAAGGAAGGTGAGAGGGATGTAACATTCAAGTGAGCAGCGGTGTTGGCTTGGCTGAGAGGCCGCAGGAACCCCTCTGCCACCACGTCATGGCCCTCCCTGAACAGATCTGGTAGCGCGCCCCTGTACCTGGCCAGGATCTGCAGTATGAGCAGGGAGAAAGGCAGAATAAAAGGGGTGTAACACTGAGGGAAGCAGTGGTGTTGGCTTGGCTGAGTGGCCGCAGAAACCCCTCCGCCACCATAAAGTGGAACTCCCTGAACAGATCGGGCAGGGCGCCCCTGTAGCGTACCAAGATTTGCCATATAAGCAGGGAGAAAGTGAGGGTGGAACACTCAAGTGAGCAGCGGTGTTGGCTTGGCTGAGTGAGAGCAGCGAAAAGTCCTCCGCCACCAGAAAGTGGCCCTCCCTGAACAGATCTGGCAGAGCGCCCCTGTACCTAACCAAGATCTGCAGTGGGACGGATGGGGCGGGGGTGGGGGGGAGGTGGGAGAGAGGGAGGGAGGGAGAGGAGGAGTGTGAACATGTGTAGAAAATTATGGGTCAAAGAAAGCCACCTGTTACAAATTGGAAGCTCTTGCACTCACATCTGTCACACCTCGTTTACTCACATCTGTTGCACTCGTTAACCCCTTACACTCACATCGGTTATTTCTAAACTCTAGAAACCACATCTGTCACAGCTTTTAGATTCTTATACTCACATCGGTTGCAAGGTCGGTGACAACAAACTCTTTTGAGTCGACTCACAAGTCAATTCAATACTCACATCGGTTGCAAGGTCGGTGACAACAAACTCTTTTGAGTCGACTCACAAGTCAATTCAATACTCACATCGGTTGCCAGGTCGGTGACAACAAATTCCATCTCGATGCTTCCGGCAGGGATGCGAACACTGGTGAGGTACAGAGAGAGAGGGGGGGAGGAGGGGAGGGGGGGGGGTGGTTGGGGGGAGGAGGGTGGAAGGGAGCAGCGAAGAAACGCAATGAAAAAATATAAAAGCGCGGAATGCCGAATCAAAAAGACCTTTTGAAATGTTTCAGAAGCGAACATGGCCAACTCGGATTGCCGAATTATGTGGAACTCCTCTGCCTCCATTCTTCTAGCCCCTCGCCCTTCACATCAACCCCCCTCACGCCAGCCCTCACTCTCTCCTCTCACATTTCCTCCTCTATCCACTCTCACCTGCCCTCCTTGACAAGCCCTCCAAGCCTGAACCGGTTGGCAGACGAGTTTTCTGCAACGCAGCACCTGCTAGCTAACCGTCTTACCTGCAACTCCCGCTAGCAGCACGCCCAGCACAGTGGCTAGCGGCCGAGTTGCCCCCACGACCAACCCTCCTGTCCTTTCTCTTACCTGCCCTCCTTGACCAGCCCTCCAAGCCTGAACCGGTTGGCAGACGAGTTTTCTGCAAACTTCTCAAGTGCCTGCAAGGGAGGCAAGAATGGGCGTGAAATGAGGGAGACCAGCGAGTGGGTGTGACATGGAAAAGCAGCAGCAGCATCCGCAGCAGCATTTGCAACAGCAGCATTTGAAGCAGCAGCAGAATCAACAGCCACTCCACCCATGGTCCCTCCGCCAATCTCAGGCGTTGGTCTTTCAGACTCCTCAAAAACAGCAAACTCAACTCACCTGCGTTGGTGTTATATAAAACATCAGGTTCTCTTGAAACGAGTTCATCGCGAATATTGCCAGCCCAGCCACCGCGCCTCCACCAATCACAAGCGTCCACATTCGCTGCGTCTGCCGCGCCCGGGCCCTCGCCCCAATGTCCACATGCACTGCACCTGCACCCGACCCTGCCCCAACCTTTGCCTTCGCGCCCACAGCGCGTACCCGTCCCGCACTTGTTTTCAGCCATCTCAGACCCCCTATGTCCAGATTCATTGCACCAGAATGTGCCGCGGTTGGGGATCTGGTGGGGAGATCGAGCATGCCGCGAGCGATAGCATCTACAGGACGGCTGACAGCTGCTGTTCGTGCCGCTGCTGCTGTTTGCATGCTAGCACCGTAACGCGCCGCTGCGGCTGCTGCAGTTGTTGTTGCTTGTCGGGTACAGGCGTTACATGCCCCCGCAGCTGCTGCTGCTGTGACTCCTGCTCGTGTTGTTGCTGATGACGATGATGGCAAATGAATCCTCGTTAAAAGGATCCTTGCAGCGTGTCGCACGCTGTCCGAGCGACCCATTATAAGGATAGAAAGAGACCAAAAGCTTACAGTCAACGTCACTGACTGGATATGAAGCGCTTGAGCAGCAGATCCGCCTTGACCAGATCCCGTTCGTCTAACGAAACTGCGTTGACGAGATCTGGGCCGTTTATTGAATTTCTCGCTGATCCCCAGACATATCAAAAGGCCGATAATAATATGCTTGATCTCAAGTCGTTGGATCGAGATCGCGATGGCGGCGGATCTAGCGAACTTGAATGACGACAAGCGGTGGATGAGAGAGGTGTACAGGCTCCTTGAGAATGCTCGCCTAAACCGTACGCGTGCGCTATGTCGCAGCCGCACAGCCTAGTCGCGCTGCACAAATGAAGAATGCGACACGAACAGCTCTGCCTAAGACCCAGCAGGGACAGAAAGAAGGAAACCTGAGAATAGATAGGTTCAAGAGGGTCGTCCTTGTCTCTTGCTTGCTTCCCCAACAAGGAGCCCTCGAGAATGACGAGAGGAGGGTGAACGAGGGTGTGCCAGGGATGTTTGCGAAGTTTTCAAGGTTGCGAAACCAGAACAATTGGACAATCGGGCCAACCAGACCAATCAGTGGAGTAAACCTGGTTACCCTTTTCCGAGTTCGACTCTATTGGTCACTAGATGCAACCGCGAAGCGTCACACTATACCGTTTCTTGCCGTACTAAACTGAAGAAACTTCTTTAACCAGGGTTTTCGGATGTACCTAAACTTGGAACAAACTTTCGCAAAGAAGTCCTTTCGAAATAGGTGTTCGAGGAGCCCTGTTACACAACCAGTTTATCTAAAAATGACGAAAGAATTTGAGGTGTAAATTTCCGATTATTGACAGAATCGTCAGAAGGACGCCACCCCTTCCATTGTTGCTCACGCACCCGCATTTACGGATTGCTTGCTGCAGATCTCTTTGTTCCTCCGCGGTTTGCGGGATGATATACCTCAGCGGACGAAAAATGCCGCCCAGATTCGCGGTTCAAAAGGGACAAGGCCCCCCCTCGGGATTGACGACCTCCCGACGACCTCCGAGCTCCCAGACGGGCCCAAATGGCGTCCCAGGGGCCTCGGGAGCCCTCGGGATTGTCGACAATCCGACGACACCCGTTTGCGCTGGGAGATTCCTGAGAAGGAAATCTCAGCGGACAAAATTCGCCACGTCGAGCCGCGGATGCCTCCACGCGGACCAATAGGGAGGTGCGAGACCCGCCCCACCGATTACAAGGCTGCCACGACGTGGGCGTCGTGGCCACGCGTCGCTCTAGCGGTGCAAACCCACGCGGCGCAAATCGGACCGTCCACATCTTCACTGTCTTGTGGCATCGCGGGTTGCCAGGGAAGTCGGTGTCGACCAGATCATCCCAAGGCACACAAACCCGGCCACACGGCACGTTCTCTGCCAAGCGCGCCGAGTGGAAGTCGGCGCCGATCATAGGCCCCCCACGGCATGGTTGCCACGCCGTGCTTGAGTCATCCCGGGCCTCCGGGAGATCCATGTCTGCTTGCCTTAATTTCTGCACTGGGGCGCCAATGGCGGTCGCAAGCCGCGTAACGCACGCCCATTCCGACGTGGAATGGCACTGGCTTACGCCCCTTCCGTGCAGCGCGGCGCCCAGCTAGCCATGCCTGGCACGTGCCACGTCGGACAGTGCGCCGCCTTTACGAGAACACATGCACGGCGGCGGATGCATTGGGGTGTGCGTGACGCGCGGCAGCATCGTAGTCGCTCAGGACCATACCCGTCCGTTGCCCCGCGAGCCTGCTCATTCGCTTGTCCGTTCCTGCGTTCCTTCCTGCTCTCTCGTTCCCTTAGAATTTTCAGCTGCCAGTCTGTCATCGCGCCTGTAGGTTGCTCGACAGCCGATTGTTCGTCCAAGTCGGCACAGGTTCCACGTCGCGAGTCGACGTAGCAAGTCGGCGACGCATGGCCAGAGGTCGCCCGAGGGCCCAACAGCCGCAACCCATCCCACCCCCCGCCGACTCGGTAGACGCCGACATCAAGGCGCAGCTGGAACAGCTTGAACTCGAAGCCGAGTTAGACGCGCTTGAGCGAGAATTCGAAGAAGACGAAGACCGCCTGACGCTTCGCGCGTTCGCCGCACCCGTCACACAGTACCGTCTCTGGTTTACCACCCCCCGCGATCTCGATCTCGACGCCGAGATAGACGTTATTGAGGGACATCTCGAGGACGACCGCCGCGCAACTGTTCGGGCGTACACCGCACCCGTGACTCAGTACCGGCAGTGGTTTAACAACCTCCCCAACGCACACGGACGACGGTAGAGCAGCAGACGTGTACCGACATGGCCGACGTCGACATGTCCGACGCTAGGCCATCCACCGACCAGGGTCCGACGACCACCGACCGCAGTCCGACATCCACCGACCACAGTCCGACACCTACCGACGAAGACAACCTGCAGTTACTCTACGATCTGGACAAGCTGACGCAGATCCCAGAAGGGGTGTTCACCACGGACGTTCCGCCACCGCCGATAGGGAAGTTCAACAAGAAGAAAAAACAGACTCCTACGCAAAATGGTCGGCCAGGTACCTCGTCGGCACCGGCCGCCCCTGGAAACCAGGTCGATGACGAGGACGCGGAGGAGGAGGGGGGGGAGGAGGAGGAGGAGGAGGAGGAGGAGGAGGAGGAGGAGGAGGAGGAAAGCGATGACGAAAACGACGACCGTCCACCTCGTAGCTCTAATCCGCGCACCTTGGACGAACGACTCAGGCGGGAACTGCAATTCATCGACATACTGCTCGACCAGGACGAGGACGAGGACCAGGAGAACTTGGCGGTGCCGCGCGAACAGTGGAGAGCGGCAGACTTCGTCGAGGAGGACATGGTTTACGCGTGCGTAGACGTGCTCGTCATGGACGCTCTTCGCCACCTGCAAACCGTGGAGAGGAACAGCACGCTGAGGCAGTACACCTCGTGGATCTATCACTACAAGAGGTGGGCGGCGAAGATGTTGAAGCAAATTCGCAACAAGCTTCCGCAGGAGTACAGGCTTAAGCACGTCGACGAGATAGGGCACTACATCCGGGAGAACAAGAAGAAAAACTGGGACCAAGAGGCCGATGTCCCCCGGTCTCACGTGTGGCTGCACGGCCCTAGGGTCACCAAGGACCGGCTTCGCGCATACGTGAAGTACATGATTCGGGAGTTGAACCTCGATGCCGAGTCCGGCAAGGGGGCCGACAACGCCACAGGAACACAGCCGGTGCAGTCGACAACGGTACACACGCTCCTCGGGCGCATAAAGGCATGCAGGATGGCGGCGAGAGTGGAGGCGACGCTCTTCCGGGAGACGGAACTGAGCATCATGAGGGAGATATCGGTGGTCAGGTCGGAGGTGCGGTACATGATCCGCACCAAGAACGAGCGGGACATCAAGTGAGTTTATGTTTTAACCTACGTCGACCACTCTCCTGCTGTCATGATCTTTGTCGACGCCGCCCTAAATACCCCTTGCCCATGGCATTGTTGGCAGGAACTGCGCCGATCGCCGTCGCGGAACCATCGGCGATACCTACACCGCCGAACAGTTCCGCCAGATCATGTTCAGGGTGCTGCCGGCGTGGGCGGCCAAGGCGTGGAACCCGCGGGGTACGGGTCCTTCGCAGACGCTGTGGAGGTTTCTTCTCTTGAAGGTGCTCACGCTACTCTCCCACCACTCTCTCCTGCGCGGTGCAAGCATCCGCGAGATCACTCTCCCCGACATCTTCTTGTACCGACTGGCGAGCACCTCCTCGATCAACCCGGAGAACCAGCCGGTCGTCATGGTCATCGGAGCGCGGAACTCGAAGACGTCCAAGGATGCTCGTCTGCAGCAGAGCTACGCCGCGCGGCACCTCGAAGCGGAGTTGTGCGCCGTCGGCGAGACGGGCCTGTGGTTGCACTTCGTCCTCGATCAGATCGGTCAGTTTCACGGCGTCCGCCTCATTCCGCCGGTCGACACCAGCACACGCGCTAGCTGGTACAAGAAACACCTGTTCTTCGCCAAAAACGACACCGACCAGGGTGAGCTCTCTGCGGCAACCCACCAACGCTGGACGCGGCAGTTGTGGGACACCAACAAGGTGTTCTGCAAGAGGAACGTGCACGCCGCTCGAGCGGGCGGGGCCCAGGAGCTGGCTATCGACGGCACGCCGCGCGCCGAGATCGCGGAGCTTGGACACTGGGCTCTCGACAAGATGACGCGAGCGTACATCACCGCCATTCCGGTGGGGGTGGTGATGAAGAAGGCCGGGTACTCGGGGTACAAGCAGGACTACTTCTTGGGTCGGAGCAGGGTGCCGCCCTCCGAGAAGCTCCTGAAGCTCCTCGCCGAGCACATATTCCCCGGCGTCGACGACATGCTGAAGGAGGTATGTTAGTCGACGCCCTCGTAGCTTGCCGCCGAGTCGTGTTGCCGACCTTTTCTGAGCTCCCCGTACCCGTGACAAATGGCAGGCGGAAGG